GTTCCAGGACTGTTATCGGTTGTCTGGCGAACGAAATATAACGGAAGGTTTGGTTGTCAAGAACGGTTTTTTCGAGGTTTGCTGTGTTCTTCTAGCCCCCTGTTTGTCGAACTTGGATTCCGGCACCTGCAGGTTTTATTTTAATCCTGAACATTTTATTGCGAGTTAAAGGCGCTGAATAAACGCAAAGAATTTATCGCACGGAGGCCGTCGGCTGCGTTATTTACTGCAGTTGGCCCTTCGAAATGGCGAAGATGCTCGGAGACCAGATAGCCTACGCATGCGCCCTCTTACCGGGATCCACGCCCCCGGCGGGGGGGGGGGGGTGTGTGTGTAGAGAGTGATGTCCCGTGACGCAATCGCGTATTCAAAGGAACATTTAAAGGAGCTTTTTGAAAGAGCTGCCGGCTCGAGCTGGGGACCGGTAAGCGCGCGATGGCTGGGAAGCCGTAACGCCATCACTGACAATAACGGCAGCCAGAAGGCGACCGAGCCGCCTCCCGTCAATTCATGAGGTAAACTCGGACTGATTGCGATGGAGAAGTTCACAGACCCCAATGAGAAATGGAGATTTAGTGAGCGAGCGTTGTTCATTTCCGTTCCACTATTTTATACTAACAAACATATTCTCGGGAGGGGGAACGAGGAGGTTTGTGGGGGGTGGGGAATGATTGTGACTTCCCCTCAACTCCAGGTTACCCCCGTCTCCCTCTTAGCTCACTCAGCTCCCAACTGTCGCAGGTCAGCGGGTCCGCTTCTTATTTTTGAGCGAAAACGTAACGCGGATTGGGTCACCGTCTTTCGCTGCTGTGGCTGCTCAAGAGATAAGGGGGTAGATTGTTTGCTGTTTTGTGATGGGCGTGCAGTAAAGCGAGTTTTGGCTGCTAGCACCTGGAGGAAGGGATCACACTCGTTTAACAGAGTCGTTGGGTCACTGGTCAGCCTCGCAAGACTGTGTGTGTGTGTGTGTGTGTGTGTGTGTGTTTTTGGGGTGAGTGACTGAGACACTGAATTGATGCAAGTATGATGGTGCACACAGAGATAGAGTGACTGAATCGCGTTGGCTGCACCAGCGCCACGTTAAACGCTACTGGGGCTGTTGGTAGCTCTCCTGGTTAACCTTTACCCTGAGTCAATATCACCACATCACAACTATGACTGTGCTTCTCGAGTACCTCGTGGGCTGGCCGCTGAACTGTAAGATCATAATACATAGGAGCAGAAGTAGGCCATTTGGCCCATTAAGTTTGTACCAGCAATCAGTGAGTTCGTTGGTGAACTGATACTCCTCAGGTCCATTTTTCTGCCGTTTCCCGTAACATTGATTTTTTAAAAAAAAAAAAAATCAGTTTACCTCAGCCTTGGATATACTTAACCAGCCTTTCTAATAACAAAGACGGAAATTGCTGGGGAAGCTCAACAAGTTTGGCAGCATCTATGGGAAGAAAGCAGAATTATCGTTTTGAGTCCAGTGACTCCTCAGACTCCAAATGTTAATTTGCTCTCTTCCCACAGATGCTGCCAGACCTGCTGAGTTCCGCCAACAATTTCTGTTTTTGTTTCAAATCTCCAGCATCCATAGTCCTTCCTTTAATTTTAGCATTTAACTCACTGCCATATCTTTTCCAGGTTTACCCCCCCTTGAAGATATTATGCTCTCTCCAACAGGATTTTCATTCTAAACTTTAATTTTGCTCTCCATCATTACTTTTGTTTTCTTGCTTAAAATTTGACAGTCTCTGCCACAACCCACTTCCATAGTCACATCTCATTCCTCCAGATGAAAAGTCATTGGTCTCCAAACGTAAACCCTCCTTTCTTCTCACAGATGCTGCCAGATCCACTAAGTTTTGCCAGCAATTTCTGTTATTGTTCCAGCATCTTTAGACCCCTGCAGTGAAGTCACTTTTTTTCCTTACTATTCTCCTGTCTTGATGTCATGTCCAAAAACCTATTGACTTCTGCCTTGAGCACGCTCAAAGACTGAGCTTCCACAGCCCTCTAGGGTAGAGCATTCCAATGATTCACCACTGTCTATGAAGAAATTCCTCCTTGTCCCATTCTTAAATGACCTCCTGTTCATCCTGAGACTGTCTCCTAGTTCTTGACTCCACAGCAAGGGAAAACCGATGTTTAACCTGTTGTATTTTGTAAGAACTTTGAGGTGTCCCTGTATTGAAGCTAGCATTCTTTGAAATGATAAAGAATGATTGCAGACTCTGGTTCTTTTAAACTCTTTAAGACCAAACTTGGAGCCAATTCTCTCCAGTGCATCTGCTTAGGATAGGATAGGTTGGGCTGCAGTGGGTTGGTACAGATAATGGTACGGTAGGAGGAGACCTTAAAACATACTTGTACAAATCTGTTTAGTTACTTTGAACTTTAAACTAACTACTTTTGTGTACAGCATGAATTTAAGCGTTCATATTGTGGGATTTCTAAAGGGCATAAGTTGGCATGTAGGAGGCTGCAAGGGAGGTGGATAGTGGAAGAAGTGAGGTCCTAGGACAGGTGGTGGTGGTTGGATAGAAGTGTTGTTGGAAGGAGGAAGAGTTTTTTAACCCAGTCAACAAAGGATTTCTTATTAAACTGGAAGCCAGGAAACCTTAAATCAGAGGTAATAAATTATTTGAAAGAGGATGTGGAACCTTTTGAGTTTAAAGGAGGGGAAGGGTTAAACAACACCCCACTCATTGGCTTAGTACTTTTTTTTTGCGAGAATGCCACTACCAAGGTTTGGTTGATGACCTAAGTGAAATTTCTTTAAAGTGTATGCATTGATATTTTGCAGGAATGATCTGTAACGTTGTGCATCTTTTACATTATCTCCCAGCCAAAAAAGGTGACCAGCAATCTGGTACTTTGGCTCCCTAGCCACACAAAAAGGCACTCACTCATTGTGATTGTGCAAGGGAGAGATGACAAGTGTTTGAAATGATTGCTGATTCCTGCAGTCTGTCTAATCACTTGTGGTCCTTTCAGCAGTTTTCTAGAATTATTGAAACATCTTTGAAGAACTTTTTAAAGATAGTACAGGTAATGAATTATAAATAATCTTCTGCTTCAGAGGCAGTGAATTCAATATACATGTTCATGTGGATAACTTGGGTATGGTTTTTCAACTTTCACCAAGCCTTCTGGGATTCTTAAATTATACCAGCATATGCAGTTTTGGAAATCTTTTAGTAAATTGAGAAATATAATTTTATTTTATGTACAAGGTGATAACTGAATGGAGTGGGAATAGCAGTTAGAAATGTGCTGTATAGTGTTCACTGAAAAGTCAAACAGTGACGGTTCATGGCTCCTTTTTACAGAACTGACATAGGCATGATGGACTGAATGGTATCCCTTCGTATGTCTAAGAATTAAATAGTCACATAGCAATTTAAAATGGTGAATGTTGACTCAAAACTGACCCAAAATCATGACAGCAAGCTTTGAATGTTTGTACACAGAAAGTCCATGTCTTGTATAAAATTTCTAACAATACAGGCAGTTTCCATGTTGGAATGGGTTCCATTCCAGAGTCCAAGTGCAAGTCGATTTTGTATGCAAGTCAGAACACAATATAAAATAGCAATTTGTAAGTAAGAGGCAATGCTCATATGTCGGATCTTTAAAGTTACACCACTGTTTAGGATCACATATGTGTATACCAGTGTTCGTAAATGGGGAACCTCCCCTATATCTAATTAAAAGACCTGGCACGTATCATTACTATTAGATTTTCTTTGAAGTATTATTTCTGTAACATACAGAATGTTGTGATTGGTTGAAATTCCACTTGCTGATTAAGCTAATAATCGAAATGACTTTATGTAAACAAAAGCAGGGAAATGTATCTGAGGAACCAGTAGCTAGTAGGAAAACAATTATCCAATTTTTAAAGTTACTTGGCCAGGTAAAAGCCCAGAATAAATAATTCCTGGTTACCAAGCAATCTGAAGAAAAAGGTACTAGAATTATTTCACCAACCTTTTTCCTTTCAAAAAAGAGCCTGACTGGTGTCTCCACCTCAAATATAATTTCCAGCATTATAAAACCAATAATTTTACAAATCTCCACATAGGCTGACTTCTTGAGCTACACTAAACGCTCTGTGCCCTTCTTAGACATGTCTCCTCTTAACACAGTGACAGCAATCAAACAATGCACACTAATATTCATTTAACTATGCCTATCTGTTTCATCCTAAATTATGAATGTCAACTCTACTGAAATACAGTTACTTACAGCTTGGAGAAAAGAATCAACTTTGTGTAACTGCATCATTTTTAATTGTGGCCAGCTTGTAATGTCACAAATCTTGATACTTCCATAAAATTTAAAATTACATAGAAGGATGTGTTTCATAAAGAAAATGTCTAAAATTTAGTGCAAAAGACATATAGGAGAGAGTGCACACGGAAATTGTAGGGAGATGGAGGAAAGATGGAGATGTGTTGATAGGGAACTTTAATCTAATATAGACCTGAATAATAGTGTAAAGAACAGAGACTGGGAAAAATATTTGCATACATCTATGCGCGTGTTGTGGAGAATTTAATACCAGGGAATAAGGTGGGCCAATAGCCAGTGAGGGATGTTTCCAGAACTATGATCAAAATACCATAAAACTTAAATTAGTGATGGAAAAGGGCAAAGAGCATTTTAAAGTAAAAATATTAAATTGGAGGTAGACCAATTTGAAAACTGAGAACAGATCAATCCCAGGTGAATAATAACTAATGTTACAATTTTACATTGAAATCTATCAATGGGCTGCCTTTAAAGAGGTGGTTTAATGCAGAAAAGGCCCTTTGGCTCATTTGAGTCTGTACTACCAAGTTGTTTGGATACAGTTCAAGCTGCATTTCCATGAATGGATAAGTTAGGTCACGTAATACTAGAGCTTCCTAGATGAGAGAGAAAGCAATCTGAAGTAAAGGAGAAGCAGATTGATAATACAATCGAGAAACGGATAGGATGTAAAATGTCAGAAATTGAAAAAAAAAACAGAAGAAAGAGAGAGTATGAGAAGGGATTCATAGCTGATGTAAAGGAACCTAGAAGTCTTCTACAGGCAGTAAGAATAAGGATGGGCAGAGGTTCACTTTATGGAAGCAGCAAGCTTAGCTAAGTGTCAGATGAGTACTTTGCATCTTTCTTCACCGAGAAAGAACTTGATGCCTCTGTGGAGTAGTTCAGACACCAGATAGATTAAAAATTGATAGAGGAGATATTAGAAAGGCTTGGTGTGCTTAAAGATGATAAGGGACTGAGGGATGCATCTAAGAATGCTGAAGACATTTGGAGAGGAAATTGCAGAGGTACTAATCCTTCTTGGATATGGAGCTAGAGGAGTAAAGAATTGCAAATATTACACCTTTTTTTTATTTAAGAGTGCATGTATAAACGCAGCAGCTATAGGCAGTCGGTTTAACCTTGGTCATGGGTCAACTTTTCAGAAGTAATAATCTGGTACAAAACTAAAGTGGCTTGGGACAAGTGCAGATTGGAGAAACCCAGCATG